AACTACAAATGTGTTTGTAAATGGACTTCAACTTCATACATGCTCTTCGCCCACACACCTGCTTTCTCATTTAGCTTGATTTACATTCACACCTGAGGACTTTCAGAGACTGATTAACACACACTATTTAAGCCACACATTCACTCCTTCAGTTTGCCGAGTATTGTTATTTGTCACAGTGACATTACAGCGCGTTTCCTTTGTCTGTCTTTGCCGTGTTTTTGATCCTTTGCCTTGTTTATTTATTTAATGCTGTTTGCTGCCTGCATCTGACCAACTGTCTGTTGTTTTGACTTTGACTCTGGATTGCCCTCATACATCTGTTTGCCGGTATTGACCACTGCTTGCCTGACAATTCTAAATAACCTCACGTGGATCCAAACTTCTGTTGTTGGTGTCACTCCCCGGCGTTACAGTGATACTCTTAAAAAGATTTTTAAATCTTCAATCACACTAAGCAAATTATTAAAACATGCATAAACTAATTTGTAATCTTATACCTGCTTCTGTTACAGAACAACTTTCTATTACTGTCTGAAAAACATCTTCACTCTTTCGCTATGAAAACACTGATGTACAACACTGTGATCTCTGTAGCCAAAACTATCTGGATGCAGCCTTTATGATGCAAGCTGAGATTGCATCACTCAGCGATGCAATGTCAGACACAATGCACTCAAATGGAGCAAGTGACGTCACTGTGATGGGTAGGGTTAGAGGTGGGGTCTGGTGAGCCCATTAAAAAGCATTGGATGCAGCCCAGATTGCACTGCACCAGGTCTACATCCAGACCCCTCTCTCCGTAGCACTCGGCAAAGAAAGCGGATCTGCAGATCATCCGGTCAGCATAGTTCATCAATTCATTTTCTTGTCGGCTTAGTCCCTTTATTAATCCGGGATCGCCACAGCGGAATGAACCGCCAACTTATCCAGCACATTTTTACGCAGCGGATGCCCTTCCAGCCGCAACCCATCTCTGGGAAACATCACACACACACTCATACACTACGGACAATTTAGCCTACCCAATACACCTGTACCGCATGTCTTTGGACTGTGGGGGAAACCGGAGCACTCGGAGGAAACCACACAGCCACTGCATCGCCCCGGTCAGCATGGTGTGGCTTTGCGTATAGATGGTCGTGACAGCAGTTTTCCCTGTGCTAATGGTTTATGTGCATCCTTTTCTTTGTTCTGTTAGGGTAAGCAAATGTCTTTTTTTTTTGCAGTTTTTGCATACAATTTGTGTTTGTTTGGCGGACTTCCCCGCTGTCATTTTACTCTCCCTTCCCACCTCTTGCTCGCCGCTGATTTGCACATCGTTACATCCCTATAATTAATACATTTTATCCATTAGAAGCTGGCTATATTCACACACTGTTCCCAACTGTGTTTAAACCCCTCATAAAACTGATTACAACATACTGCAGTTGACTTCTATCAATGACAATAAATGCACTGCTGATACACTTGAGCTTTTTAACATTTCACTTAAATATTTTCTTAACTTTTGTCCAAAGCAAATACAGATGCTGTTACTGTAGCTCTGACTCAGACATTCATTTATGCATCACATACACACCTTTACTGTATTTAAACAGTAAAAGTGTGTGTGTGAGATCAACATGCATGAAGTGTCAAAATTATATTGAAGCTAAAAAAAATGAAATGTAATGCGTACGCATTATAACAGAGACGGTACTCAGTGCTTTTATAAACCCTGAAACATGAAAAACACAAATGATTTAATTAAATTGTGCTGCAGTTTGACAATGTGAAATCTACATTCATTATATAAACTCAGATAAAGTCAAGAGTTTTGAGCGATAAGAAATAATCTTACTTTTTAACAGAATTATGCAGGCCATTGTCAATTATGACAGTCTGATGTGTTTCTGTTTATCCACTAATCAGTCCAGAGGATGAGTTTCCTTCAAAGTTCAGAGAAAAAAAACAATTAGGACTGGCTATGATGAAAGATAATTACAAAACAACATACACAAAATATCAAAGTTTATTTTTTAACATACTTAATTCTGTATGATTTTTAAGCTTGAGTGGAGAGGAAAATTGATGTCCCCATGAGTCTGTGTGCATACTGCAAAACTGTACTGACGCAGTTTCAATCTTATAGATCTTCTATGTTAAGCTGCTTTGACACAATCTACATTGTAAAAGTGCTATAGAAATAAAGATGACCTGAACTGAATTCAATTTTAAGTCCCCCCTTGGATATAAAAACACACATACAAGAGATATACTCCACTGCATTTATGAATTTACATTTGATGATTTTAAATGATTAAGATTTTCATAATAGTCCTGACCTGGTCCTGGTCAAGCCTAAACTACTCAACCAAATCCAACTACACACAAACCACACAATCACTTCATGATTTATATGATTTATCAACATCATTATTAAGAGCAGAAAGATCTTACCTGATATGAGCTGAAAGCAGTGGTCTTCACCTGAAACAGTTGACCGCCTAACAAAGCAAATATTTGTGTGTGGTGTACCTTTGTGTATATTTATAAGTTTATCACTCCATCAGCCTGAAGGGAAAATATGAACTCATATGCACCATTTCCTTCTTAAATTCAAATTCTAATTCAAATTAAACAGTAAAAACTTCAGTAAAGGCCTTCACAAACATTGCTACAATATCATATTGTTTATTTAGACCTTAAAAATACATAAAACAAATACATAAATACAAAAACATAACCTGAATGAAAGGGAAAATGAATCATTCACATGCTTTAATGTACAGGTCATCTGAGGACTCACTTTGAATTTGTGTCTTCATCTGGTCATAGTTTATATATATATATAGTTCTGTTCTGAATGGAAATTTAGTTACAGATAAAACTAAATATGTTTCCAAATTTTCACTTGTCAAAATATAATAGGCTCTTTTTAGGGGAAACCCTCATTTTCTCTGTAGGAGCTTCTGAGCTTGACATGCAAAAACTTTTTGAGGAATATGAAAATCTGTGGTCCTCCCTCCTTTAATACATTCACCCATTTACATGACATTGTATGACGCAGATCAATATTTAAAATGTGAAATGATCATAATCAGCATTCTGACCTCAACAAACCAAAATATAATAATGCAAGATCAGTAAATAAAGAACAACTCATCATCTGAATACATATGATGTAGATTTATGTTATTTCTCTTTAATCTCTCTCTCTCTCTCTCTCTCTCTCTCTCTCTCTATATATATATATATATATATATATATATATATATATATATATATATTATAACATTCAATAATCATCCTATTAATCATTTAAAAAACATTATACAATTAAGATTAAAATACAGTTAAAAATCAACATTGCAATATTATTAACAATCTGCAACAATATGCTTTTCATTCACCAGCAATAACCCAGATGACATGATAGTTAATGCCAGACATTTAACATTAAACATAAAAAGGCTATATCATACAAAACATCCTGTAAAATAGTGTTGATTTTATTTGTTGCACTTGATGCTGTGTCCAGAGCAAAGACATGTGAAGCAGTTCTTGTACTGTTGCCTGATCTGGAGAGAAGGAAAGCTGAGTGAGTTTTGGAGATAAATTTAACCTCTGAAATGATCAGATTGATGAACAGTGAACGCTAAACAGATTAACAGAGTCAGACAAAGAAAAGTGATAAGAAGACAGACAGAAACTGGGAAAAAGTTCAAGCAAAGACATTCTGTGTTCAATTTTATAATCAATAATTTCAGAACTTGAATTTGCAATCAGATGTCAGCAATACATGCATTATCAATTACATGCAGTAATACATGAAAAAGCAAAGCAACTATCAGCATGACTGAGTTCATGAAACATGATATGGTCAATGGATTACTATTTAGTAGGGCCAGACAGAACATGCTGACATTTTTTGCTATTTCTGCGCAGAATATTGTCAAGAATCTGCTGATTTATGCGGAAAGATTTTGGGAGTATTATTACTAAAAACTTAGTATACAACATTAAAAATAAAACATTTTAACTAGTATTTAATGTTTATAATGCAAATCCATCTAGATCCACTTATTTGGTAAACAAAGCAAGTCTCTCATATTACATCTCCACTAAAAGACAGAAAATATAACTTTATAAACTATATTGTAAATAAATCATGTGAACATTTTTATGTTAGTCAGTAATATTACTGTAATTCATTTAAAAACTGAATAACTATAAATGTACACACATATACACAAGTAAATAAATAGAGTCAACAATGGGCTGAAAATCTGCAGATTTCTGCGCACACAGATTCCGTGTGGGCCTACTAACAAGTAATAAACTGAAGGGGACCAACAACACAGCCTTGAGGGACTCCTTGAGAGAAAGGACTCTTAAGGCTGATTTATACTTCTGCGTTAAACGCACATGTATGCCACGGCGTTGATGCATAGCCCTTTGCCGTGGCCGTTGGCGTCACTGACGTGCACCTCTCAAAAAACTTAACTACACGTCGCAACGACGCGTAGCGCAAGCTCTGTGATTGGTCGGCTTGGTAGCGCTGACGAGTCTGGGCGGGACCGAGAACCGCGCGATTGGCGCTAGCCCAATGGAGCGAATGTTTACAAGTGTTGAGTCCCGTGAAGGAGCTCCGGATGGAAAGTTTTGTTTTGTGTTTACCTCATAGTTAAAGTTGCTGCACGTCCGCCGGTTGCTGCCTCAAAATGAGCGAGTTTGAGCCACTTGTACATCCCGGAAGAGTTCAAGAAAAGCAAAACAGCAGCGAAGAAACAGAGGAACATTTACACCTCACCGCCAACTAGCGTTTCGGAAGTGTTAATGCAGACCAACAGAGACAGCGCGCAGAAGTATAAATGCACAGCCGATGGTTACGCTGGTCACGTGACGCAGAAGTATAAACCAGGCTTTAGAAGATTTTAATTCAGGAGCAGCACTGAAGAAATGTCAAAATAGCAAGACAGGAGACAGTAGAGGCTCAAACTGAGTAAATGTCTGACCTCATTATTGAGCAGACAGTAGATCAGGAAGATGAAGGTTCCCTGCTGAGAGTTGAAGATCAGGAAGACGATCTCCAGCACCTCACTGCCATTAGTGAAGAAACCCAGAATCCAAGGACAACCAAGAACCACAAACTGACCCAGTGTTTTAAACACCATAACCCTGTAGAGTGCCAAAGAACATTCTTGTTTATTATATAAAACATAAGTAAACATTTACAGTGATGTGTAAACTGTCTAGGTTAGAGCTTTGATTAATTATAAATTGCTTGTGTTATTTATAATAGTGACAAAACAGGTTGTTACTTGGTTTGTTTCATCTGTGAGACTTCAGCATTGAGATTTTTGAGAGTCGAGTTCAGAGTGATGACGATTTTAAAGAAGAGAATCAAGTTTAACTGCAGAAAGAAAGAAGAAATGATAACTTTAGCTTTTATATACATTTATAAGCTGTGTGTTAAATGCTCAAACTTACTGCTAGTATGACACAAACAGGACCCAGAAAACTCCAGATAAACCCTTCATCTGTTTTAATCCAGCAACTGATTAGAGGAAAACACAATATAATAATAATTAAATACATTTATCAAACAGAAGATGGCAGTTACAGATTTTAATCTTGTGTGTGACGTTGTTACGACCTGAAAAGAAATGCATACTTATCAGGCAGCAGAAAACAGCCCTGAGCTTACACTGTAAAAAATTTCCAGGTTTTCACAACAAGTTACTGTAATTTTTCACAGTAAATTACATTAGTATCTCTTCACAGTATTTAACTGAAAAATTCACAGTAATATGTTGTATTCATAATTTTATTGTGAAATTACGGCAGGTAGCATGATTACAGCAAATTACTGTGAAAAGGGCTATATCTTTTGCACGTTAGTTATAGAAATTCAAACCTTTTTTAAACTCAACGTAGAAATTAATACAAATGAACTTTTACCAGATAATAACAGAATGTTATAGCCCCCAAAACGATTTGGTTACCAACATCTTTTTGATTGTACTGCACCTTTATTTAATTTTATACAGTTAACATAGAATATGAAATAATATTTAATGAACAACTGTGTGCTTAGCCAAAACATAATAAACCGGAATAAAAAGTAATTAATTAATGAAACCAAAGACTGTTAAACAGCCAACAATTATTTCAATGTCAGGGTAAATGTCTGCTTTAGACGGTTTCATGAGTATTGGGCACCTGTCATCGCCTGGAGGTCACTAATCTCAGAATTAAATATATATATATATATAAATTATTATTTTTATATAAATAAACCACAGATTAGAGTTTTAAACAACCACATTCTAGCATGAAAAACAGTTAAAACTTCATTTTCGGACGCATATAGAGCCATCGAAGACGGGGCAATTGTCCCAATGTCTAGCCTGAAGACAGGCGCCTCTCGGCGGATACATGAGTAAAGAGCGCCGTTACCGCCTGGAGGTCATAGATCTCCGCTACCGGCAAAACACACTTAAAATTACACACAATCTTTACTAACAGTGCATGAAAAAGTGTTAAAACTTTATTTCATTACATATTACAAGCAATATTTATAATATTATGTGCCTTCTCATCCACCATTACAGCTTGATGCAGCTTGGTGCAAAATGAATCCTGGGAGGAAAAAATAATAATTCTCAATACACTCCAAACGAACTTTATTCTTATTGTTAAAGTCAGAGATATGTAATATTTTGAATGGCGAAGAAAATAATTAACTTTATATTTCAATCAATATATTACTCTTGCACTGCTTCGGTTCAGGACTCGTGTGACATTGAATCAGATTCAGATATTTTATCAGACGTGTTCATGAGCTCGAAGTCATCAACAAGCAATTCGTGTACAAGCAGTACACGAACCAAGCAATATGATGAAATATTAATGAATTATATGTTTGCGTCTTACAATATTATACAAAACGGACTCGTTTTCAGGCGAATTCGACTCTTTACTGTTCACTTAAAGGAGCCGAATTCGACTCTTTACTGTTCACTTAAAGGAGCCGATTCATAGAACAGAACTGACTCGACTCGACCGCAAACAAGCGCCATCACCACAGACAACGCCGTCGTCTCTTCACCCAACGGATTCATCCTCGGTAAGTGTTAAAATATGACTTTTGTCCGTTAAATGATTGTTGTATGTGTATTTCTTTATAGTGCATGTCATTTAACAGGAATTTACCGAGTAACGTTACTTTAGTTGTACTCGCACGTACAGGGTTTAAGCGCGCCTTTTTTTAAAGCAAGAAATTAACGACGCCAGATGGTGATTGTAGTGTTTTCTGAGGTATTAGCATAACGTTAACGTTAGTTCCTGAAAAAAGAAAGGGAATTTTCTTTAATTAACTTCTTGTTAACTGCAGTTTTTGTTTCAGTACAAGACTGAAGTAAAGGTGAAATGACTATAACGTTAAGGTAAGCTCTGACCTTCACTTAAGTTAACGTTACGGTTAGTGACCATCATGTATGTTAATTTTGTTCACTGTAACGTTAACGTTAAGTTAGTTAAATAAACTAAACTCATTATGAAACAAGTCCTAACTGTTTTATTAAATGAGGCTTATAATACAATTCAGTTGTATTCTTTTAAACTAACACTAACACAGTACATATTGTATATTTCTCACTGGTGTTAATGCAGTGCTAACATTTACTAATGAGAACTAATTGTATATTGTCACAAACTGTAGATTTTATTTTTTGGTGTTCAGGTGTACCTGATAATAGCTAAAGTGTGAGGTGAGTGTTAATTCTGAGCACACAAATATAACCTAAATTCATTATCACAATCTAAACCTATATATATATATATATATATATAGAGAGAGAGAGAGAGAGAGAGAGAGAGAGAGAGAGAGTATGTGTGTGTGTGTGCATGTGTTAGGTTGAGTCTTATTCTACTCTTATTATATTCAAAATTTTTTGCAGCCACAGCCACTGATGTTGAAACACTGATGCTACCAATCAACCCTCGCTTGATTATTAAAGGTAATGTTGATCCCTTCCTCATTTTTATTAGATTTTTAAATGTCAGGTTTTTCACAGATTTGTTGTGAGCAGTTTCTTGTACAAACTCTTTTTCTTCTTCCAGAAGTTCCACCAGTACCTCCAGTAGTAGTAAATATTAGACAAAATTTTTTTTAAACTATAGTTTTTATTTTTATTAGCAATTTTACTGGGCATGTGTGTTTGTTTGCTTGGTTTTTAATTGGCAGAGCATGGAATGTCAACTTTGTTTCTACAAACAAATTTAACTATTCACAAACACCTCTAATTTAGTCCTTCTTTCCCCCTTTTAGTCTTATTCCTTGGAGGGTCGAGTGGTCATGGGACCTCACCTGGATTTCACAACTGACTTTGAATCTGGTCTGAAACTGAAGTATGCTGAAGTTGCCTTTTGCACTCTGGAATTTAAGGTAATGTCTACAATAAATATTGTAACTGAGTGCTTGTTTTGGGGGGTGGGGGGGGGGGGGGTTAACAAGGAATGTATAGGAGCACAAGTCATGACTCCCCTTGTCCCCTTGTTATAAAGGGCCGTGTTGCAGACACAAATTGTTTGTCTGTGCTGGAGACCAGAGGGGAAGCTGTCTTTAAAGGGATGGGGCTCTTATACCATATGTGAAGTTACCTATTCAGGTGAGTGGATTACATACAAGTCATTGCAAATGCATAAATAGTGGGAAATTTTTACTGGGAAGCACAAATTAAGTGAAACTCAAAAAACGTTGAAAAATATTTGGAATATTTGCAAAAAACTTGATTGAAATGAATACAACACAAGTGCTGTATCACTTCAATCAAGTTTTTTTTTGCAAAATTTTCCTAATATTTATATCATAAAAAATTAGCTTGATGCAAGAAACATCCTGCTAGTATTCAAGAGCAAGTGCTGTGATGCATGTGTTAACTTTGCAATAAGTGTGAACCCAGCATTAGATTATAGTCTGTAAACAGAAGATGTAAATCAAATCAACTGTTTTAAAATGCTCTGCCTAGGTCATTAAAATCACTATTTGTTGTTGGACTGTTCTTGATTGTGTGTTTGTGATGGAAATGTTTTTCAGATGTTTTTGTTTAAATGATTGCAGTTTGACTGAGCTACAGTATTGTCAGCATGTTCAAACTGAGCTAACAGTAATTTTGCTCTGTAGTGCAGCAGTAGTGTCCCAGTACTGTTGTATGAAGCTAACTGTTTGTCTGCCCTTTTGCTTATAGGTGCTTTTTGGGCACCAGTTTGGAGATGGGAGACAGACGAAGTCAAAGAAGCAGAGAAGACACATCAACCAGCAAGTGTGTAAAATTATCAGGAAAATGATTGACCTTGAATAGACGACTGCCTAATTTAACAAGAAGTTTTGTCTCTCTCTCTCATGTATGTATGTGTATATATATAATGAGAGACAGAGAGAGCGCACTCTGAAGCACTGCTTTTTATATGTATGCAACATATGATGTCAGATTTTTTTATGAATATGTTCTTATAGTATTTTTTGAGGCTTCACCTTTTGAAAGTTTTCTGAAATGTTTACACAGATGTCATTAAGCTGTTAAATAAATCTGTAAAATGTATGTGTGTTTGTTTTTATTTTGATTTTAGAGTCTTCTCAGATCACCCAAAAATGAAGATTCTGTCGTCATTTACGCATCCTCAGGTTGTTTGGACACAAAGAGAATTATTTGATATTTTTATTCCTGTGTTTAACAAAAAAACATTTTTAACAGAGCTGGAACAACCTGAGGGTGAGTAAATCAAGATAGAATTTTCATTTTTGTGTGACCTAAAATTGCTTTGAAATTTTACAGCACCAAACTGTTAAATTACAGTAATCCGGGATATAATTGTAACTTTACAGTTAAATCAGGTATTTAAACTGCAACCTACTGCTAAATCACAGTAATCGTTTTGCAAATTCACAGTAAAATATAGTTAATTCTACAAGATAATACTGTGAAATCACAGTAACAGACTCTATTATCTACTGTAAAGTTACAATATATGGTTGTAATTTCACAATAATTTAATGTGACAAAACCACAGTAAATTACTGTGAACTACCTCACAATAATTTACTGTGAATTTACACACAGTAATTTACTGTGAAAGTAATGCAATTATTAGCCAGTAATTTACTGTGAATTTAAGGTCAAATTTTTTACAGTGTATAATCAAATTAACAAATAAACAACAAAAACTCACTGTTCGCTGCCGTATCCTTCTGGAACCAGCCCAATAGACACACACACCACAACCATAGCAAGCACATATCCAATCACACACAGGAACCCACTGCTAAGCACCTCCCTCTTTTTGGAGCTGATCTGTGACAGGTTCTTGACGCAGATGAAGAGCAGCACAGCTTCAATGAACATCCACACAAAGGCGGAGAGGAAGAGGAAGTGCAGAAGGCCTGCTATCGCCACACACAACACCTGGAGAGCATGAGAGAGGGTTATGATGATTCTCAGTGCGACTGTGCTGAGCTGTAGAGCTCCTTCATCATTCTCACCTGCTGAGGGCGAATGAGGCTCAGGAACTGTTGTGTGAGCAGAAACAGAAGGTGAGCCGACAGCAGACTGATGCAGATGTTGATTCGAGCCACATTATTGACTCCAGGACTCCACTGACAAAGAGCAAAGGACAACAGAGCCAAACTGAAGAACACCAGACCCACGATCACACACACCAGACCCAGCAGCTCCAGCAGATCGCTCTGAGAAAACATGCAGAGAACATGAGTGCCAGATCTGTGCTGCTCTTCAATGCTCTCTAGAAATGTTCTGGTACCGGTGGTGGACTGCTGCTGGTCTGCATGATGAGAGCGAATGTGGACAGATGAACACAGGAACACACAGTGTGGCTGCTGTTGCTGTTTAACACAGAACAACCATCTACAATCCACTCGCTGATATTCCAGTACACACAGGACAGAGAACCGCTGGGCTCAAACTCCTGCATGAAGAAGAAGAAACGAGCAGAAAATATGAGCAGAGTGAATATTAGATGTGTTCAGATGTTGATCAGTGCTGATGTTGGACTAAAACACATTTCAGTCTCTCACTCTGATGTGTCTGAAGGTGAAGTTGACTGCTTTGGTGAGTGCAGTGTTGCTGGTTTTGGGAAGAGTAGCTGAGATCACAGTGGACATCATGGTTTTAATGGTGTCATTAGTTGTGTTGAAGAAGTCGGCCTTCAGTAGATTCTCCATTGTGGTGTAGCTCATGAAAGCCACAGCAGATCCTGTGTGACAGAAACAGAGGCTTATATGCAACATTATATACAAATAACAAAGTCAAAAGAGTAAATGTGGTTTAGTGGTGGTGAAATGAGGTTTCATTATACATAAAACACTGATTACACCAAACATTCAACTCACTGTCATTGTTGTTCTTGGCGATGCCAATAAGATCGATGTCTACAGAAGAATTTGTTGTGTCAAGTTGAGGGATTTTATCTAAGGTCACCTGTGGTCCAACCATGAAGACTTTTCCCTCTGATTACAAACAAACATGACGTTATGCTAATTTACTTTACCATTTCATAGATTTCTAAATCAAATGATTAAATAAGATAACACTACGTCACTGAGCCAGTCACACCAATGAAGTGCATGAAAATTTCCTTCTACGCTTAAAATCCTCATCAAAAAATTATTTCTTAGAAATCAACTTCAAATGTGTAAGAAGACCCAAAACTCATCTAGAAGTGGATGTTCCCCATGAGTTCAGGCCAATTTAGGATGTTCATTAAGCAGCAGGATACCAAACTTTCACCACATTGGCATTGAGCTACTGCCTGAGGCAACACAAGTTACCCAATGTATAACCTGTGTATTGGATAGGTATTGAACAAAGTATTCTTTGTACTTTAAGTCAATTACAGAAACCCAAAGTCAAACATCAAGCATTACTAACAGTTTTTATGTTTTATGCTGACCCAGAACAGCTTTGTAGAACTCAAATCTTCACAAAACTGAATTTAAGGATCACCTCTCCAGTGTCTAGGAGTACCAGGTGATGCTATGGGCTGGTCAACCCATTGATAATCTTTCAAAGGTACATGAATAAAGCATTCAGTGAGTTCCTGAAGCACTTTGTTGTGATTTACATCAATGTCCTGTTGATTTACTGCTAAAGGATAACAGAACATTGTAATCAAGATACGCAAGTCCTCCGAAAGCTGAATATGCACCAACTGTACCTTAAGCTGGTAAAAACTTCCTTTCCCATACATCCACTTTTGTGGTTTATGTCATAACAGAGGCTAGAACACAGATGGAGCCAAACACCAACTCAAAGTCATCACGGATCTCAGAAATCTTGAATCCATTCGTCAAGCAAAGACTCAACCTCAGTTTCACTTCAGGATTCAACTCCACTCTTACACACTGACCAGATACCAAGAATCATCGAGCAGATGCCCTGCCAAAAGTTAAGCTGCCTTTTCTTAAAGTAGTACCTCCTGAACCATCCTACCTCTAGATATCACCCTCAATCCAATGCAACGGTCCATTAATGATCAGATCTGGACTTCTAAACCAGCTCTGTTGTGGTTCCATATGGTATATTCTACATACTGTGCATCTTTTGTGCAACCCTCATGGACTCATGCGCACATCTTCAGGATCTGGACCCAGGCAATCAGCATGCTTGATGATCTCTATCTGGTACTGGACGTCCACTATGACCCATGATGTTCCTCAATATGTCTAAGGATGTTGATCTGTGCTGTCTCCATGGTTCCTTGACAACTGTTCCGTATTTCCCATCGACCTTGGTCCCATTCCTGAAAAACACCTACTGTACCAATAGCAAATGCTGTGTTCTGGTAATTGTGAATGGGTGCTAATAAGCTTGCAAACTCATTCTGGACATTGGATTACACACACCTCTAGTGATTCTCTTCTATAAATCTTTCGCCATTTTGGGATTCTTGAAAATCTTGTGTCCAACAGAGGGTCCCGTTTAATATCCAGACTGTGGCAAGCTGTTCTTGTCAAATTCCACAGTTTCAGTGAGCTTATTTTCCAGTTATCTCTCTCAATGACCAGACTGAGTGTAAGATCTAGGAGATTTGGAGATTCCTCTGGCTCTAACCATCAACAGACCTGGAGCCATTGCCTAACCTAGGCAGAGTATACACAGCCTTATATAAACTCTTATTTCTCAGCCATGAGCCCACCAGCTCAATCCTGTTCTAGTGCATGTTTGGACTATGAACCATCACTCCTTCCCTGCCTATGGGAGCCGTCAGATGTCACTGCACTCAATCACTGGTACCAAAAGAGCGAGAGGGTCTGGGAAAGAGTTCATGTTCATTTTCAAAGATCACTAAAATGCAACATGCCAGGGTAATATTCAACTCCTCAACACCTCCCTGGGCATAATGTCTGGCTCTCTGCAAAAGACATCCAACTCACACATATGATCCTCTCTGTTCTGCTGTCTCAGTCCGTGTACCTGCACACTGCAGTGCTTCACATGACAGAAGCACACATCCAGACTTCAGTCAGCCAAAAGCAAATCACATTTACATTCTTTGAATCATCTAACCCCTAAAACCATTCACTTAATAAAAATGGTAACAGTGTGTAACAGGATTAATTTTTAAACTCCTATTTGCCTGTATACAGACTGTGTATGTGTGTATTTTTCCCTGTTGGACTCTTGTAGAGAGGTGCTAAATACAGCAACAGTTCATATCATCACAGATTCAACTAATATTTTTTTTATTTTCTTATATTTGCAAATGTTGCTCAGTTTGAGTGAGTCAAAGATGAGCAGGTCTGAGCTGGTGTGATTGAGTCTCTGATATATAATCTCAGGTTCATCATCAATAATAACAGTGTCTCCACTTACCTACAGCAGCAAGAGTGAAACTGACATTGGCACTTGTTTCTGTCGGCTTCACCAATGTAGAAATGAGTTTCTCGCTGCTTTTCAACACTTTAGTTCCATATGAGGCTAGCTGAGCTGGACTGGCTGATGATGAAGACACTGAAATCTTCTCTGAAGCGTTGAAGACCACAGTCAAAATGTCGGTCACCGTCTGATTTAATGATCAAACACACAGATGTAAAGACAGACAATAAGATAAAACTGCTCTGTCAGTCGACTCTAACAGAACTGACTTTATTCTGTTTCTCTTGAAGACTTACATTCAGTGGAAGCTCTTGAGCTGTAATGTTCTCTATCTGCTCAAGAAGATTTTTTAGACATCCAGAGCTCTGATTCTGAAATCACAATTTAGCTTGTGTCCTCAATCGTGTTTTGCAACATTAATAACAAAGTAAGTTTCTGAACAAAACCAATAGAAAAGCACATTCATTGTTTAATTACATGCATACAGCACAAATATAATCCCACAGCTCTCAAAACTATTAAATGTAAATTTCAGACACTCAACTTACAGAACATCCTTCCTGCAGTGTGATATTTATAACTGCAATGAGAGAAAATCACAGTGAACACAATAATAACACATCTCACATGGAAAATATGTTCATGAAAATGTCTGCAATGATCTGAAGCTGTACATCTCAGATCCTCTTTAATCCTTCATCTTTATCCAGAGACACAAACACACTCACACCTGTTCAGTTTTACAGTCCAACACACACTCAGTAAAACACACTCAGAGGAATCATCAGACTACATTACCAGCTGAGCTCGTCTGTGGTGTGACTGTTGTACTGATGCTGCTCATGTTGGAAACAACTGGAAAACAAATCAACTATCAGACAAATAATACTGAACATACAAAGAGTGCATGAAAACATTAGTGTCAAGGTTTTCAATTGTCAAAAGAGTGAAAAAGGAGTGAGGACTCAAATGCAGACTAGAAAATGGGTTTATTAATTAATAATTATTAATTATAAAATAAAACAAAAAGCAAAAAAAAAAAAAAAAACTACCCAGAGGGGTAAATATAACTGTTTCTTTATATAACACAAATAAAGAAACAAACTGGACTAGACAGACTGTCAGGGATCAGGGCTGGAACAAGACTAGATAATGTAGAATAAACAATAATGAACAATGATGCAGGACAGCAGACATGAGGAGACTATAAGCAAACACATTAACAAACAAACAGATGAACAGAATAAACTAATAATGGTTTAACAAGTGGGACTAGACAATAGACAGGAGCACATGACACAAAGAAACAACACACATCATGTGCTCACGTAAAAACAGGACTAGAACATGCAGCCAATGAGAGAAACCATTAACCACATGAAACTCGACACTAAAGCATGCAGCCACAATGTAAACACCAGGCCATGTGCTAAACACCAACAGGATACAAGACACGAGTACACAATAAATACAAAGACGTACCGTGCACTCACACATGCAACGTGCATGTTCCAATCCCAACGCCAAGCGAAACCACCTAGACCAGGGATGGGCAAACTTGATCCTCGAGGGCCGGTGTCCCTACAGAGTTTTGTTCCAACACTAGTCAAACACACCTGAACAAACTAATCAGTGTCTTCAAGATCACTAGAAATCTATAAGCAGGTGTGTTTGATTAGAGTTGGAGCTAAACTGTGCAGGACACCGGCCCTCCTGGACCGAGTTTGCCCACCCCTGACCTAGACTGAGGCGCTGAGAATGAAACAGCACGCTGCAGACAGAACAAACACAAACACCAGGACAAGAGCGCACATCCCGAGCACACCCTGACCTCACACAACCGCATCATGATGGCGCTTATAGAAAAGACCAAGACAGACAATGACAGGAATGAGCACTTGATCTGAGAAAACTGGAGCTGAGCACAACATACTAGACAAGACAGCACTATTGTCTGAACTCTGCTGCCAAAACAAGTAGGGATGCACCGATACCAATTCTATTTTTGTACCCCTTCCCCTTCCCCTTACAACCGAGTGTTAAGGGGAAGGGCTTCAAAATTTACCCCTAAGAACTGGAACAGCACTACAGCACCTGCACACATCATCATATGTCATCACGATCTCTTGCTTCATTTGAGATCAGACGATCGCGACTGCTGGAGTGATTCCAGTTGTGTTATTTATTTGGTATTAATCTTCAGGAAATCACTGAAGGCAAATATTATGTTATCAAAACAATCTAATGTGGCAATAAGATCGTAATTGTACTGTGTATTTACACCGTGGCCATATTCATCAATGTGAACACACCAAAAACAACATTAACATTTTAGCAGACACTGTAAAAAGCTCATTCTCAGCCGCTGGACATCACTGACAGGGTATTCCAGTGTCATCGAGTGTCAGAATGTTGTGACACTGCTATACAGGAGTTATGATTAGGGATTATTAGCCAAATGTAGCTATATGTATGTAGCTATATGTAGCTATGTAGCTCTCTCTTAGCTATCGCTCTCTCTCTCTCACCAGCGGCAGTTGACACACGCTGCATAAGGGCACTATACACACTACACAGCATACACTGGCAAGATGACAGGTGCTGAACTCCACGGGGTCAGTTTTATTTGTTGCTGATTTGAGTTTTCTTCTTTTTTTAAAATGCCTTTTTATTTTTAAAATCTCTTAAGTTAATATAAGCTATAGGGTAACATAATCTCCCTCAGAGATATTGGAGTTCAATAATGTGGTGCGCAGTATGACTATTGACCAACATCGCCCTGTAAGTTTACACACTGCATAGACTATAGGCCTACAGCTCTGGTGTGTTATGAATGTCATGTTTTAAAAGACAGCGGGACATGCTACATTTAGTTTTCATTGTAAAATATACATTATAACCCAGTACACAGTAAAATATAATATTTTGAATGGCTTGCCTATTGGCAGCGAATAACCGTTTAGCTTAAATAGGTCAAACTTGTTTTTATTAATATTAAAACACATAGCCAGCCTTTTTTTTTTAATCTGTATAGTTTTTATTAAACAAAAAATGCAATGAATTGTTTATTTTGGTTTTCAATTTATTAGAATTAATATAATTATTAAGTGACACAATTTCTACATAACAGTGGCTCTGATTGCGTTTTTACACATATCCTGCAGGCTCAAAGACATTTATGCCTGTTAATTTTAGTGCTGTGTTATTCTAACTGTCAGCTGGTACCAGCATCAATTTTGCAACTTGACTTGTGTTGCGTCTACATATCGATGCCTGGATGACAGCGAGAGAGAGAGATATGATCTGACCTCCGATTCGATGTGTGGCCGCTTGTCGCAGTAACTTTACTTCAATTTTTTAATATTGGCTCATTTAAATTAATTTTTAATTCAATTAAAAGCTGAAATATTGCCAGACAGACGAAACAACTTTTGGTTTTGGAAGAGATCGGCTTCAGTGATAGAAAGAGTACTGAAAATCATACACTAGTAAAAGTAGCATTACTTGCCTGAAAATGTAAGTAGTGTAAAAGCATCTGTTGTAAATATTACTCAAAGTATGAGTAAAAAGTAAACCTTTTAAAAGTACTCAAGAGTAGTGAGTATTACACTGTGAAAAGCTGATGCATTTACATGTAAATTGTGGATGTGTGTAAATGTAACTTTCTGTAGTGCATTTAGTTATCGCGCACACACTGTCATAGGACATTAATATTAGGTTAGATTTAGGTTGTGATGTCAAGTGACCAAAATTAAATGTCTAAATGGTGTCGAAGTACAAAATTATTTTAATGTCCAAAGTCAGCACCAATAGCCTAGTGGTTAAGTTCCAACTTGAGGTCCTTTGCCGACCTTTCCCTCTCTCTACTCCCAGTACTTTCATGTCTGTAACCTCCACTGACCTTTCCAATTAAAGGTAAAACCCCCCTTTTAAAAAATCATTAATTTGACGTCCAATAATGACCTCAAATGATGTTGATATTTGGTCGAGTTTAGATTGTAAGAAAGTGACCAAAATCCAACGCCGAGCCAACATCTTAAACCAACGTCATATTGATGTCAAACACTGACATTTATTTGTCAGTTATGGCAACCGAAATCCAACATCTGATAGACATAGTGGTAACATCCACACAACTTCAAGCTGTAACATCATTGCACGTTGATATTCGGTTCTAGGTTAGAGGTTGAGCTCTGATGTCAACATGATTTTCATATTCAAACAAAATGCAACGTCTCCATGACGTTAGGGTACAATGTCAATTTGATGTCATGTTGACTTCTTAAGCTTGCTGGGTGTTGAAGGTGGTTTCGGTCATCATACAGTAAACATCCGTCATCTTCTCATCAGTGACATGCATCTAAACAGTTTCTGGGTCAATGCGTGTAAAGATTTTGGACATCTTCCTAAACACTTTTAATCAGGGGTCATCAATCTCGGTCCTGGAGGGCCAGTGTCCCTGCAGGGTTTAGCTCCAACTTGCTTCAACACACCTGCCTGGATGTTTCAAGTATACCAAGTAAGAGCTTGATTAGCTTGTTTAGGTGTGTTTGATTAGGGTTGGAGCTAAAATCTGCAGGACACCGGCCCTCCAGGAACGAGTTTGGTGACCCCTACTTTTATTGCTTCCAAACAGTTTGCTGCAATTATAAATCGCACATGTCTTGAGGTAGTTCATTTTGATGCGGTTTACCTTCTGTGTGGAATTTGATTGGACAGGAATTACTGGACTGATTTCTCTAATCCCCATAGACAAGCAAAAATAAAGTAGTGACTGCAGGCTGAAGGAAAGTAGTGGAGTAAAAGTAATGATACACACTAAACATGTACTCAAGGGAAAGTAAAAGTACAGGTTTTTAAAGCTACATACTTAGTAAATTACAATTTCTGAGAAAAAAATACTCAATTACAGTAATTTGAGTATTTGTAATTAGTTACTTTACACCACTGGTGGCGCTGCATTGCTAAATCAATAATTTATTCGTTTCTTTTCGGCTTAGTCCCTTTATTAATCTGGGGTCGCCACAGCGGAATGAACCACCAACTTATCCAGCAAGTGTTTTTATGCCCTTCCAGCCACAACCCATCTCTGGGAAACATCCATACACACACTCATTCACACTCATACACCACAGACAATTTAGCCTACCCTATTCACCTGTACTGCATGTCTTTGGAGTGTGGAGGAAACCAGAGCACCCAGAGGAAACCCCCGCAAATGCAGGGAGAACATGCAAACTCCACACAGAAATGCCAACTGACCCAGCTGAGCAGGCCCGGATTGGCTAATCGGGAGGACCGGGAGAATTCCCGGTGGGCCGGTCTGTTTTTTGGACGCGAGGGCCGGTGTCCCTAGCTGCTTGCACTCTCAGCAGTCACACTTTTTTCTTCTATTTTTTTATTTGATCATAGCTTTACTCTTTTTAATCATTATTTTGCCGCAGTGCCGCTCTTTTTATTTATTTTCTCGCAGCTCCGTGAGAAAAATGCAGCCTGCAGGTTAACTAATGTTAATGATGATGATGTAATGTAACTATCGACCCCAAACAGCGGCACCTTAGTGAATATAAAAATTCGAATAAAATTAATAATACACCTGCTCAATGGAAATCAAATGATACACTACATTAATAAATCTGACATAACTTGATCAGAAATCTAAAAATAGGAGAAAAAGATTGAGCCATCAAAAGGAAAGTAGTGCTGTGTCTTGAGGGTCACAAGTCATTAGTTGTTTTTTACTCTCACTGTGATAGCTCCAATGTGGTCCAGTGGTAAGCACGTTGCATTTCAATGTCACAGATCTGTGATCGAATCTCTCATGAATTTTTTTTTTTTTTTCGATTTTATTGTTAAGACATAAAATACTGTTAGGGCTGTTGAACATTTGAATTTCTAAAGCAGCAGTTTTCTTGAAAAAGACGTGATAGTGCCATTAGTAACTGAATTGGAATCAGTCGTGAACTGAGGTGGGCCGGTCTGGCTTGAAACTCCAGGGCTGAAAATGAGTCCCACTCCAGCCCTGCAGCTGAGGCTCGAACCAGCGACCTTCTTGCTGTGATCGACAGCACTACCAACTGCGCCACTGCGTCACCCTGCATTGCTAAATCACTTTTGTTTGAATAAAAAATAGGATTATTTATTATTAAACATTGTGAGATGATGGCCGCATAATATTTTAAATTAGACTATGCGTTGCGTTTATTAATGGCTACTGATCTTATCTACTCGTGACCCACCCATAGTAAAACATCAAGTAGCCGACATCTTAATTACATGATCAGCGGATAAACATCAGGACTCGAGAATATGAAAGAATCGCACATAACAGAGTTTTATGCGTCCCCAATAAGCAATGAGAGTGACTCCATAAGGTAACACTACACACACTTTGTGTAATGTGTGAAGTCGTGGACGCATGTCAGTGCAAGGATAACTCATCCTTTAAATGTCCATGCTTAATCATTAATAGATAAGGTCAGTGGATTCGCAGGGTTATAAACAATGTGTGTGTATATGTTTGGCTTGGAACAGCCTTCTGTTAAAAGATTTCACGAGTACACAACTTAAAATACTCGTACTTGTATCAGTTTGTAAAAAAAGTGGTATCAGTGCATCCCTAAAAACAAGAATTAACAAGAATATAGTGGCAGAATTCTGACACTTAGCAGTAATTTATAATGCATAAAACTACTTATTTAAGTTTTTACTCATTTTATTTTTCTAAAGGTGAAAAATTGAAATACTGTAGGACTCTAGAAAATCTACTAAATAATTCAAAATGATCAAGTCAGTTTTAGTTCTTCATGTCTGAACAGCACAACATACCAATAAAGAAATGAATTTAAATAATATAAAGATTTGAGATTTTGAGTTTGTTCAGTATAAATTAAAGACATTATTTGGCTGAAATGTTTATGTACTGTAACAGTGCTTAGTCTAACAAATCACTCATTTAAAAACATATATTAGTATTATTAAAATAAAACTTCACTTGTTAAAGATGCTGATGAGATGAATCTTTTCTCACTATATATATATATATATATATACAGAATTTATTCAAATAATATAATGTCAGTGTTTGCTGCTGATCAGTGATGTGTCAATAATGACCAACTAACCACGTTCATCATCTGAAAACTGAAGAAAATGCTGATAATCAATTCTTCATCCTTAATAATAGACAAATAACCAGAGACACGAATATTATAAAAAAGAACTGATGTGAATAGAATTACCTGCACAGTAGGCTGAAGTACAGAAATATGGTCTAAGCAGCTCATAGATATAATAATTTCTTGGACAGGCTTTGACTCGAATAGGAAAAGAGCCGTAAAAGCAGCAGTAACCACCAGCATAACCGCAGACATCTCGAGTGACGACTCCATCCTCTACTGTTGGGTGTCCACCATGAATCCACAGTGCGATTTCAGTGCCACAACTATACTGCTCAACACATGTGTCTGGGATATGAGCGTTTAGACCGTTAATGAAGAGCCGATACCAGCCACTCCAGGAGACTGAAGTGTCACACTTGGTCACTGGCTTTGATGGCTGACTGCTGTCGGCTCTCCATGGATCGTCCAGCACAGTGTAGGTGTAGCAGGGATCTGCAGAAAAATAAATCATAATTAACAGAATGAAATCAGTCTTAATATAAATGTTCTCTAAATATAAATTCCTGATGCATAAGCTCATTTACATTAATCACACATTTGATATCTCCTGCATTTGCACTGTCATATATTTGTAAATCACCTTATATCTGTTTTATGCAGTGTTTGAGTTTAAATTAGTTTAAATCATTTTCCTCATTATCCAGTCACATGTGTTTTTTTAATCTAGCGAATCAGCTCTGTCTGATCTCTGACTGAAACATCATCAGGTCTCTTCATTACAGAGAGGATGAAGGTTTTTCCCTCACAGCAGCTCATCATCAGACTCTTACTGAAGCAGCATTTCTATATTTTACACTCATTTACAATTTAAACACACTATGAGCACTGATCTGACCATCAGTGGAAATATAATATATGACTAATATAGATGTATTTATAACAGTCAAGAAACATAAAATACAATACAGTAAATTATCAATACAAAATCTTTTCTATTTTTAAATACAATAGCACATTATTTAAGTCATATTTCTTAAACAACTGCATATTTATGAATCTATTTACTTGTAAAAACAAAAATTATAAACAAACATAGATCAAAGTTACTGAGAAAGGTTTGTAAAAAAAGGCACAATGAATTGTGTTAATATTAATAATGTGTTAAAGTTTTAGTTTAGATTTTTCACAGGTGTTTTGCCTGCATTTTTAATGTGCATCAGTTTAATCAGTTTGTGTTTTATGGTAACAGTGAATATCTGTACTTAAAGGAATGATTCTGAATAATGTTCACATTTTTTTCAACATACTGATCTCTTACAGTGTGCTAATCTGACAGTTATTACTGAACTATTGTTAATATCCAGTATGTGCACTGTCAGGCCACACTGGCTGATTCACCATTCACTGATTTACTCTTAGTGTGTAATATGCAGTTCCCAAATACATTTCAGAATGAGCTCAAATTTACAGCTGGGTTAACCGTTAAATAAAAAACAGCCAGATATCACAACACAACTGCTAATGACTGAACACTCCTGTCCATCTTTTCTTATTGTTCATCTGTAGCTGATGTGTGGACTTCACTGATCTCATGAACAACATTAAAACAACATTATTGTCAATATCAAAGCCAAAGCCAGCAGTGTTTCTTTACCAGGTGTGATGATCACCGGTGTGGCGGCTGTAGAGCTGATGATAACACTGCCAACATCTGAAAATGTACATCAATAAAACATTATGAACAGATAAAAGTTCATGAAGGTGTTGAAAACACTTGATATTTGAGTTTATAATGTACATGTAAACCTATTCAGTGGCACAAAAGATTATAACATTCATTATTCCGGCTTTATATGATGCTTCACAGATGCTGGTTAAAGATTCTGCATGAGGAGATAATAAAGTCTCTATACATGAAAAAACTTCATTATAAATGTATATTTAATTTTGTATTTAACACAAATGTCAGATGTTAATATATAATGTCCGTGTGTGCTTCTAACAAGTGCACTAACTGGCCAACTACATAATCTTTCAACTTTAAAATGGCTGCATCCAATCATAAACTGAAATAATGTGAATATAATTACCTGCACAGTAGGCTGAGTTACAGAAAGTTGGACTGCGCAGCTCATAGACATAATAATCTCCTGGACAGGCTTTGACTCCAATAGGATAAGAGCCGTAATAGCAGCAGAAACCACCAGTGTTACCACAGACATCTCGAGTGACGACTCCATCCTGTACTGTTGGGTGTCCACCACGAATCCACAGTGGGTAACTAGTGCCACATCTAAACACTGCAACACATGTGTCTGGGATATGAGCACTCAGACCATTAATGAAGAGCCGATACCAGCCGCTCCAGGAGACTGAGTTGTCACAGTAGCCGTTATTTGTATTATTGACGGATCTCCATGAGTCACTCAGCACAGTGTAGTTGTAGCAGGGGTCAGTCAGATTAGCTGTTAAAACACATGCATATTTAAAAAAAGAAATTAGCATAATTATAATTTTTATAATAATAAAATCCATCCTGAAGAACAGCTTAAGACATTTAACAATTCCCAATTGTTCAGTTTAATAATTCACAATTAATAAAGCTCAACAAAATATTTATTTCTGTAATTTGTCTATATTTCTATTATTCTTTATAATGCACTTACAGGGTTATTTTAATACCAGTGTGAATGCAATATTTAAAGTGTTAATACCAAAATGCAAATTAGGAATGGGCGATACTAGTTTTTTTATTTGATATGATACCGATAGTTTTTGTTAAATTTTTTATGATACCGATACCACTTATTATATAAAATGATAATGTAATTTTTTAAGTATTGCTAATTTAAAAAATCATTACATGTAAATATACATACACACTGCACAGATACACACACACACACACACACACACACACACACACACACACACACACACACACACACACACACACACTTATATTTATTCACCTAATGGTGATGAGAAAGAAAAAGAGAGATGATTTTTTATTCTGATTTATTAGTTTATTTGTATTTGATTATTATACTATATATTATAATACTATACTAGTATTTGCTGTGTTCACTATGTGTGTGTGTGTATATATATATATAATTAATTTTATTGTCAGCTTAGACCCTTTATTAATCCGGGGTCGCCACAGGGGAATGAACCGCCAACTTCTCCAGCAATTTTTTACGCAGCTGATGCCCTTTCAGCCGCAACCCATTTCTGGGAAACATCCACACACACATTCACACACACACACTTATACACTACGGACAATTTAGCCTACCCAATTCACCTGTACCGCATGTCTTTGGACTGTGGAGGAAAACATTTGCTACTTGGAATGTGTCACCTGATGAGCTGCGACGCTTCCGTCATTTTCCGCACCTGCCGAGGGCACTGGAAAGTCTGATCTGGTTGGATATTGCTTTGCCTAAAGTTTTTTGCTGTGATTGCCAAGGCTAGAGTGATGCCTAGTTCAGACTGCGTGATTTTAGCCCCGATTTTGCCTCGCCGACAGGTTTTGAGAAATCACAGGCAAATCGCTGCTCGTGCACATGAGTGACAATCACACAGTATGAACTATCAAAGACACGATCTGAGAGAATCGCCGATGAGTCGCCGATGCCTGTGAGATGTTTGGCGTGCTGAATATCTGGAGCTGTCGGCGATTCAAATCATGCCGTGTGAATTGAGTTTTGACTGAAAATAACACCAGCGATCGGCTACAGCCAATAAGAGAGCAGCTTTCACTTGTGTGTGTGTGTGTGTGTGTATACCTGCTGCAGGCCAGCGGTAGGCTGGGGGAGAAGGTAAAAGCGCTCATTTTCGGTTTATTTGGACCCACGAAATGGAGGAAAAACTAGTGGAGGTTTGACAGGACTCAGGAGCAACCGTGTCTGTTTGACGTTTCATACAGAAAGAAATGAGTTTATTATCAACGTTGAGGAGAAATGGCTAATTCCCTTTAAACCCAGGTGTGCAAACATGTACATGTTCTACCCCATTAAAGGCTTCTTTCTCATTATGTAGTTAATAACAAAAGATATACGACGTGTTTTTGGCTGTGAGACGTAGTTTGGACGAAGTTGTCTGCGATTCTTCCTATAGTAAAGTCATGCAATGTGAATGTCCCTGTCACCGATCCATCTTGCAGTGTAAACAAAGCAGCGACGAAACGCAAGCCCAGATAGTCATGCAGTGTGACAACATCTGACACGACTACTTTGAAAAGTAGTCGGGCGTTCTGCATTTAATTGCGGCTACAGTGCTGTCCTGTTTTCCTGTTCCCTTAATTTTAATTTCTGTTTTCTTGAGTTTGTTGAGTCCTATTTCCCCTATTTGGTTCAGTTGATTGTATACATTTTCTATGAAGTAAGATCCTCCTGTAGTTCTGGGGCCTGTTTCAGTAAGGAGGTTCAAACAACTCGGAGTTTAAACTTGAACTCTGAGTTGATTTACCGAGAGATTAAAAACTCTGAGTTTTCGATTTCAGAATAGCTGATCTGAGTTGGGTCAATCAACTTCGAGTAGACCAACTCAGAGTTAAGCGCGCACACCGTGACTATAAAAAGGCATTATCAATGGAGCGCAGATATTATGAGTGACCATGGCAACATCTTAAAAAAAAGAGATCAGCATTTCTTTCTCCAGCTGAACTTGATCTGCTCATGCAAAATTACAGCAAATATGAGCGTATATATTTAAAAAGAAGCAACCATCAGTGAAACAGAGACAGCCTGGAAAAACAGCTGCTCAAGTTAATGCGTAATTTTTAATTTAAAGTATTTAAATATTTAAATATAATAAAATAAGTAATATAATGTGTGACGTTTAAACTTTTTTCTAAACTTTTATACACGTTGATCAGTTTTAATAGATTAAAAAGTGCACTTGTGTGTCTGCCTTTTTATTAATCAAGTGATAGAGGTTGATAACATTTAGAAGGTAAGCAGAACTAAAAATAATTTTTAAAAAGAATAATAATCCCATTAATCTAGTAACAGTACATGTCAAAGGTTAAGCTAATTATTTATGAAAAAGGACAAGCCTCGTAAGTGACTTTGTTCTGTGTGTGACAAAAATGTAGGCAATAGCTATGTTTCCATCCAAATATATTACATAAATTTGTGCAAAACTGGAATAACGCCTAAAAGATGCGAATAAAGCAGCGTTTTTATACAATGAGTCAAAGAGAACAAAATCGTCACTTCCTGATTAACTTGCGGCAAATATTAACAGTAAAAACAGAATTTACTGCGGTAGAAGAAGCTGCGTCAATTAATTATTTATTTAACAAATGTACTTGCGCCTCAGAGACACAAGACAATGCTGACATGCAATGAACACGTGGGGGCGTTTGAAGCCAGATGCTGAGACTCCCCAAGTCCAGACGCTCGGAGGTAATTAATAATATTCAATAATACTGAAACAGTTCAGGCATTTTAGAATGACCAAAAACAACATTTAAGATGTTCTACAGTGTGCTCAGTCTGCTGGTTTGTCCATTCACTCAATTTTCATCATCATCTCTAACAAAACTTTTTTTAATGTACATACTGTAATTTGTTAAGTGCACTTCGTAGTTTATGCACATCTTTTCTTATCAAATAAAAGTTTAACCTACTCAGTCATGCACATGTTTTATTATGCGTATTTTCAAAAGTTAAGCGAATTATGACGTTTCCATTAATCGTTTTTATGGGCATCTCCAAAATGAGCTCTAAAATAGGTGGCTGGAAACGTAAGGCTAAGGCGAAAAATACGCTTCATCTTTAAAAAAGGGGAGGAGACTGACAGAAACTCAGAGTTTAGAGAATAAAACCTGCTCTGGACCAGGTTAGATTCACAGAGTAAGTTACCACGGTTACTGACTCTGAGTTAAAGTTACCTCTCTTTCAGAAACAGGTTTGACTTACCCCGATTTCTCGAGTTTAACAAACTTACCATTTTGAAACGGAAAACCCAGAGTTTCTCTCATTTCAGGGTTAAAATACTCTGAGTTTTCACTTAACCTGCTTTCTGAAACAGGCCCCTGGGGTCCGTTCTTCATACCTCGCTTAAATGATCTAAGATGATTTGGCAGATCCTGGATCTTTTAATCTTGATAACTGATCTCTCGCTAATTTGGTTCTTCAAACAAGTTCGCGAATCAGATTAGAATGTCTGGATAAACTGATCTGAGATCGCTGCGTGTGTTATGAAGGACAGATCTATCGATCCTCGAAATCATGATCAGCAATGCAACGATTGGCTGACGGCATAGCAGCGTAATGACATCATCTGATTAATATTCAATTATCCATGTGAGCAAAATTACATCAAATTAGCAGTAAATGGTTTGTTAAATATGACACGCAAGAACTTTCCACATTTGTTGTGAGCTGCAGGCTTTACACTTTCATTTGTCAAGACAAGAGTATTCATCATGCATTTCAATGCAAATCAATGCATTTAGTTCTACATTTAGAAAAGATTTTCTTTATTAATGTAGCCGTTTTTTAATCGGTGTTTAAAGAATAACTGGTTGTTTACAAAAGCATTTTGATATTGGTAAAGGTGTCTGCAACTTTTGTGAAGCAAATCACTGGCATATTAACTATCAAAACATGTTTATGACTGCATAAATGTATTATTGCTTAAAAAAATCAAATATTGTGCATTTCTATTATACACAATTTGTTCTAAAGCGATCTAAAAAGTTCATTTCAATAAGTTTTCTCTTTGCACCAGATGGCAGTCTTTGTACTTTCATTTCGAGGGTGCAGATTGCATACGTTTTATTAATATGTATAACTTTATTTATTTTATTAATGACTATAACTTTATATATATATATATATTTAAAAATTATGTATTATTTTCCCAAGTGTATATAACTACTACTGTAAGAAAATATCAGAATTCGGTAAATACTTTCTGTATTATCTTTGCTTGAACTAAGCCGATCTAATCCTGTTTATATGAATTAAACCTGCTCCCGATCAGGTTTGACCTAGCAGAACTGTTGCCATGACAACAACTCTCGGATCAGCTTTGAAGAACGAAACGATCCTGGATCGTGTCAAATCGTCAATATCCAAATCCAGCTAACTGAGTAATCCACGTACGAAGAACGGACCCCTGGTTGGATTTGTTTGTTTATTTTCGTTATTTTGACTTAATCCACCAGCTTTATCTTTTTTTTTTTTTTTTGTAAAGATTTACTGGGGCTCTATTTTCTTCATTATTGATGTTTGGTTTATTTTCCTTTAGTAATTAATTTTGGTTAAAGATTGAACTTTGTTTCTTTTTGTTTAAGGTGGGATTTAATTGAGTTGTTCCTCATTTGTAAATA